CCAGCCCCGCCCCATTCAAACAACTTCCGGGCCAGGCCTGGTCACGTCCACGCCCCACCCCCTGCATTGCACCGCCCACATCCTGCTAAGCAACGCTTTCCTGCTATCCCGGAAGTTCACTGCTCTGAGCCAAGGTCCCCGCGGTGAGTTTCCATCTTTCTGGTTCAGACCTGTGCTTGGCGTCCTTTCCAGCTCTCCTCCTCACTCGGTCCTTGACACCCGGACGGGGGTCGTTGCGGACGGTAAAGTCCCTGCACCGCCCACCCCACGCCGGTCCTGCCCTGCCACGCACGCCTCCTCGGCGGGCCGAGCCCTGTCATGTGGTGAATTGACCCTTATTAACGACCCTTTATGAAAAATGCTGCTTTCAAAAGTCAGCCGTTCACACACAAAAACATCTTTATTTAGACACTGACAAAGTAAATAGACATGCTGTTTGGAAAACATATCAAATAGTTTTCAGATGTGGAAAACAGTGAAATTTTCCTCCCTGCCCAGCTACCTCGTGGTAAACTGCACTTGGCTTGACCTCGCTTGACCAGATGTTTTATGTGCATTATGTGTGCGCTTTGTCCATTTATAATGGTGTCATTTTAAACATTACCAATAGGGACCGCACACCCACTCCTGTGCAGCTGTGGCGTCCGCCGAGGAGGGAGGAGCCCCAACTTCCAGCTGCAGACGTGGCCTGTCCTGGCGGCTCCTACAGGGAAGGCGTGGGTGGAACTTGTTTCTTGGAGGACCGAGGACCACACAGGTGCGTGGTGTTGGGGAGGAACACCGTGACAAGTGATGAGTCCTGGGCTGGCTGGAGTCACTGGGCTCTGAGGCAGCTAGTCAGAGTCAGGGTGGCCTGAGGCCCACTGTCTCCAGACTGGTGACTTCACCCTGAGCGTGCACCTCTCACCTGTAAAGAGGATGTTGAGGTGTGGATCCCTGTCCAGCTCAGGCCCCCGCACTCCCCCTCAGCACTTCCTGACCAGCACCTGCTGCCTCCACAGCGGGAGAGGCAGCACCTCAGAGAACAAACACCTTCTCTGATGACCCCAGAAGCTAGGGGTCTGCAGGCCCAACTGAGAAAGGTTACTGCCCAGATGTCACCTTTGAACCCAGAACTGTACCGTCTTGGGGGAGTCACCCCATAGTGCATGGGCTTCGGGGGAGATGCCAGGGCCTTGATCCCCACTTGAGATGGGCGTGTCCCTAGACACCATTACCCTACTTTAGGTGCTAAGCACTTGTTGGTGCTGTGCAGGGTGGGGATATGGGGGTCAGAAGATCTTTGATGTGCTTTTCCTTTTTGAATAATGGCCAGCTCCCATCTCCCTCAGGGGGACACATGCTTCACATGCATCCAATATATATGTGGACATTCTGGGAAAACTCGCTTGCTGGCTCTGAATCCTGCATCCGGCTTGTCATCATCTGACCCCCAGTATTGCCTGCCGATCTTGGGATTCATTGGCCTCCACATCCTGTGAGCCAGCAGCCTGCCATCTGACCTGCCAATCTTGGGTTCATCAGCTCCTGTAACTACGTAAATTAGGAGAAGCCTCCAGTCTGACACCTGACCCACAGACTTGGGACTTGCCAGCCTCTACAGTTGCATGAGCCATTTTTTTAGGTAAATCTCTCTCTCTGTTTCTCCCTCCGTGTGTGTGTGTGTGTGTGTGTGTGTGTGTGTGTACTTCACTGGTTTTGCTTTTCTAGAGAACCCAGCCTGAGACATAGGGTTAGCCTTTGCATAGCTTTGTAGAAGCTGTGAGACGTTCTTCCAAAGTAGCTGCATCATTTTGCATTCCTACCAGCAATGAACGAGAGTTCCTGTTGTTCCATGTCCTCACGAGCATTAGAGGTTATCAGTGTTTTAGATTTTAGCCATTCTGATAGATCTGTAGTGGAAAATGTGGTGGAAAACTCAGTAGGACATCCTCATCTAGATATTTAGGAAGCACATATGACCTTCCCAGATATCTGATTTCAGTCATGAAACCACCACATGGAGTAGATTGTCATCTCAACGAGGGTTGATTCCAATAGACTTCAGAAGGAAGTCTTCCAGATAAAACCACTTCAAAGACTAGCTCATCCATTTGGGGATGAGGCAGCTGAAGAGGAATTATAACAAAACTGAGAATAAGACTCTATTTATAAGTCAGGAATTCCCCAAGCAAAACAAGTAGAGAGGCCAATCTTGCCTCATTAACCACAGGCAGAAATTAGCATTTACAACATATAAGAAAATTATATCAATGACAAAATGGAGGGCAACCACACAATACTGGGAATCATGGCCTAACCAAGTTGACACGTATTTTTTGGGGACACAATTCAATCCATGACAAACATCAACAGAAAATGATCATGAAAATTCAGCCAGAAGAGGCACCATTGAGAGACAACTGCTTTTATTTTGGTGAATTGTACTGTTGGTTTGCATGTACCACAGGTTTCTTTAAAAGATGTTTTATCATTTCATTAATAAGTTTTGTGTATTTTTCCACATAGCATTAAATATTTTTACACTGTCATGTTAATGAAAAAACGCATTAGTGGAATGGTTAAGGGCACAGCTGCTAACTGAAAGCCTGGTGGTTTAACCTACCCAGCTGCACTGTGGGAGAAAGACCTGGCAGTGTATTTCCATAAAGATAACAGCCTAGAAAACCCTAGGGGAAGTTCTACTCTGTCACATGGGGTTGTAAGGAGTCAGTATCTACTTGACTGCACCTAACAACAACAACAACATCATGTTAAAACCAAGAAAACCAAACCGGTTACTGTTGGGTAAATTCTGACTTACCGTTTATTGGTCCAGTCGTGAGGATTTTTGTTTTCTTTATGTTGAGGTGTAATCCATACAGAAGGCTGTGGTCTTTGATCTTCATCAGAAAGTCCTTCAAGTCCTCTTCACTTTCAGCAAGCAAGGTTGTGTCATCTGTATCTCACAGATTGTTAATGAGTCTTCTTGTAATCCTGATGCCCCGTTCTTCATATCGTTCATCTTCTCGGATTATTTGCTCAGCATACAGATTGAATAAGTGTGGTGAAAGGATACAACCATGATACACAATTTTCCTGACTCTAAACCACGCAGTATCCCCTCGTTCTGTTCGAATGACTGCCTCTTGGACTAAGTACAGGTTCCTCAAGAGCACAATTAAATGTTCTGGAATTCCCATTGTTTTAGGCATGAAATCTTAACCATCACATCCATTCTTCTCACTGTTAACTTGAGATGCATTTACAACCCAAGTTTGGTTCTCATTGATGGTAGACAATGCCTCAAGCTAATTAGCTGATTGTTGAACATTAGCTGAAATTGATCTCTCCATGAAACAGTGCTGGCAGATTATTGTTTCTTTAATTAGTAGACTACTTTTCAGAATAGTTTTAGATTAACATCAGAATTGAGCAGATAGAGGAGAAAATTCCCATGTTCTTCCTCACACTCACACACACAGTTTACCCTAGAATTAGCATCTTACTTTAGGGTGATTCATTTGTTATAATTAATGAAACAATATTAACACATTATCATTAACTAGAGTCTATATTTACATTTTGCTTCACACTTTGTATTATAGAGTTGTATGGGTTTTGATAAAGGTGTGATGTTGTGTGCGCACCATTGCATTCTCACTCAGAATAATTTCACTACCCTACAAATCAGTTTGGAATTTTATTATTGATTCAATTTCTTCATAGATATAGGCCTATTCAGATTATCTTTTTTCTTTGTATAAGTTTTAGTAGTTTGAATTTTTCAAGGAATTGGTCCTTTTCACCTAACTTATAAAATTTATGGGCATAGAGTTGTTCATGATATTCATTTATTATCTACTTATTGTTCATAGCATCGTTAGTGGTGATCCTTCTTTCATTTCTGATATTAGTAATTTGTGTCCTCTCTCTCTCTCCCTTTTTTTACCCTTATCCTAGCTAGAAAATTATCAATTACATTGATCTTTTCAAAGGCTCATTTTTTGGTTTCATTGATTTCTGTATTTCCTGTTTTCAAATTCATTGATTTCGGCTCCAATTTTTTTTTATGTTCTGCTGCCTTTAAATCACATTACTCTTCTTTCTCTAGTGTCCTAAATTAGAAACTTAGATTTTTTATTTTAAATCTTGTGGGGATATATGCCATTTAAACATGGCTGCACTATTGACAACTGCAGCCCCCACAGGCCTCTATGCTGCACAACATGTTGAGACTTGTCCCCAGCAAGTTGAGACTTGTCACGACTTGTTTTCCCAAACCTATTGTCTCTTTACTGATTGGCTTGTTTACCTGAATTCCTTCTCCCTTGCCCACACCCAAAGCCCATTGTTCTGTTATTTGCTTCACTGCTTGCTGTATTGACTATAAATAAACTCCTGGGACTGAAGCCGGGGTAGACTCCTCAGAGTGACCCTCCTGGCCCCACTTCTCTGTAAGAGTTGTGTTTGGTTACTGTCTCCACCGTCCCGACAATGTTGCCGCTGCGGCAGATGGTGCCCCGTGTAACGGGCCACGACAGAATCTTTCTTTTCTAATATATATATTCAATCCTACAAATTTCCCTCTAAGCACTGCTTTTGCTGTATCCCACAGATTTTGCAAAGTTGTATTTTTATTTTATTCAGTTCAAAATGTTTTCTCTTAAATTTCTGTTGAGACTTCTTCTTTGAACTATGTGTTATTTAGAATGTGTTGTTTAATCTCCAGGTATTTTTGGGATTTTCCAGGAATCTTTCTCTTGTTGATTTCTATATTAATTCCTTAATCATCTGAGAGCATACTTTATATGGTCTCTATTCTTTTAAATTTGTTGAGGTGTGTTTTATGGACCACCATGTGGTCTATCTTGGTGAATGTTCTGCATGAGCTTCGGAAGAATGTGTATTCTGATGTTTTGGGATGAATTATTCTATAAATGTCAGTTAGATCCTGTTGACTGATAGTGCTGTTCAGTTCAGCTATATCTTTATTAACGTTCGGCCTGCTGGATCTGTCAGTTAATGATAGTGGGGTGTTGAAATCTGCAACTATAATAGTGGATTTATCTTCCATCCCTTTTAATATTGATGTCATTTATTGCACTTTCCCATATGGTATATTCACTCAACAAACTGTTGCTATTACTTTGAACAAATTGGTACCTGCTAGATAAGTTAAGAATAAGAAAAACTAAAGCTTATATTTTACCTTTTTTTATTCCTTCTTTAATCTTTTCCCTTTTGCCATGTAAGTCCACATATCTGATCTATGACATTTTTCCTCTCTCTGAATAATTTTTTTTAACATTTCTTGCAAGGCAGATCTGCTGCTGACAGATTCGCTCAGTTTTTGTCTGAGAAAGTATTTCTCTTTCACTGTAAATTTTAAATAATAATTTTTCTGGATATAGAATTCTAGGGAAGTGATTTTTTTTTCCTTGAAAACATTAAAATTTTCCCTCCATTCTTCTCTGACTTACATGGTTTCTGAAGATAAGTGATCTAATTTTATCCCTGTGTTCTCCCTCCCCCAACTTCTTTCAAGATTTTCTCTTTGCCATTGCTGTTATGCAGGCTGAGTGTGATATGATTATATGTATATATATTTTTTGATTTATCCTGATTACTGTTCTTGGAGCTTCTGGTTCTCTGGTTTAGTGTGTGTCATATTTTTTGGAAAATTCTTAGCCATTATTACTTCAAATATTTATTATGCTCTTTTCTATGTTTCTTCTTTTCCTGGTATTCTATTTGGCATGTGCTACACCTTTTATAATTGTCCCACAGTTCTTGCATATTCTGTTATTTATTTAGTTTTTCTGTTTCCATTTCTGTATCAGAGGGCTCTATTAACATATCTTCTAACTCTTGATTTTTTTCCATGGCCTATGTATAGTCTACCGATGAGCCTGTCAAAGGCATTCTTCATTTATGTTACATAGTTTATTTATTACTAGCTTTTCCCTTTGATTCTTAGAGTTTGCATTTCTTTACTTACATTATCCATCTATTATTTCATGTGTTCTAAGTTTTTGTTTAAATCTCTTGAGATATTAATCGTAGTTATTTTAAAGTTCCTATATGACAGTTTCAAAATCTGAGTCATCTATCAGTCTTGTTCTGATTCATGCTTTGTCTGTCTAGACTGTGTTTTTCCTTGCCTTTCCGCATATCTTGTGATTTTTTGATGAAAGCCTGACACCGGTCATAGAAACTAAGGTAGGTAACCTTTCAATGTGACTTTTATGTTAATCTGGCTAGGAGTTGGGCTGTGTTTAATAATTGCTGTAGCTTTCAGTTCTGGAGGGTTTAGTTTCCCTTAGTGGAAATCAGGCTTTGCAGTGACAACACAGTGAGTTAGCCCCATGTTCCTGAAGGAGCATATTATTGGCTTGTTTGAATAATTTCATGTGCTGGCAAGGTGGCAGAATCCATTAGGTTGAGGACCAGGTGGAGTGCAGCTGGTCTGTCTGATAGGAGAATAGACAGGTGGGGACAATTTTCTGCTGGATAAGGAGCATATCTAGTGACAGATGGGAACTCATAGCTAGGCTTTTGGAGGCACTGTGAGCCTCAAAGATGTCATGGAACCACATGGAATTTCAGGCCTTACTGTATATTTGACCCCTTAATGCCTTGACATCAAACATCTGTTTTAGTGATGACTGATACTTTTAGGAAGTATGAAAAGTACCTTCCTAGAAAATGAAATATTCAACTTGACCAGGAGTGAGGAAGCTGCATAGTGAGGTGGTCATCAAAAACATGAACCTTAGAGGTTCCCCGTTTTATGGCCAACAAAGACTTGAGGGAACCGTGTGGCATTTCTGTAAGGAGTGTGTATCCATAGAAGGCAAAAATTTTGAGTAATCAATGTATATGGCAATACTAACACACAGTGAGATGTCCATTTGTCATTTTGAAACTTAAGTAGGAGTCATTTGAGATGTCTGCTAGGCCTTCAATTAAATCAGCTGCTCAGGGCCTGTCTGGGAATGAAAGTCCCAATGAATGTCTTTTCCAGTAGCACTGTGAATTCTGAGAAATAAAATGTGTATCTTGTTCACTATCAGTAATGTATCAAACTCTGAAGGGGAAGATATTCCCAATGTTCTTTACCCCAAAGGGTCAACCTTGGACAAGGAGTCGTTGTTGCTGCCGTTGGCTGGATTAGACAGCCAGACCATAGGCAGTGGCTCACGAATCTGTTAAAAGTGTACAGATGGGGCAATTTCCTGGGGAGGGCATCCAGTGATAACTTCCTGAAGTGTGGCCATTGTGCTAACTCTTGGGTCCTGTCCTTTTTCAGAGGGCATCCTGGTTATGGGATGAAAAGTAGTAACATTCTACTGAGCTCTATCACTTGTGATGATAGCATTACAGTACATAAAATCTATCAGCTCCCTTTTCTCTTCACTTAAGGGGCTTCCCAGGTAGGTAAGGAGGCCTAGGTAGCCATGCTAAGCTTGTGAGATGCTGCTTCCATGATCCAAGGTATAAGGGGCCACTAGGTACACAGGCTCAGGGTCTGTCAGAGCCGCTATATCCAGGAGAACCTAGTATGTGTCCAGCAATTGCTGCTCTAATACAACAGGGACAAGATGAACAGTTTCTTACATCAGAAGCCCATCAGCAATGTATGGCCATCATTAGTAGTCCAGAGACTTCAGGAAGCAATATATGAGGTTCCTAAGCTTCTAGAACGAAGGAGTCTCTTAGAGCATGGGTGCTTGTTAATTTCAATTTGGGTAGATTCTAGAGACCTTTGTTGTAGGGTGCCAAATTAAAAGTGGGCCAATCTATAAGGAACAGCCTCAGTGATATTAAACAAATTTGTAAGTAAGGAACATGTTATCTCCAGAACCCAAAAGGACTAAAAGATGTTGTGCTTATATGTCCTTAATGAGTATGTCAAATGAATCTTGTCGGACGAGGGTGCCATCAATGTAATGTCATACCTGAGCTCCTGAAGAAAAGTGGGTGCAGATAAGATCTTGCCTGCAAAGATTGTGTGTGATGGCAAGGCTTTTGAGGTGTCCCATAGGTAGTCTTCTAAAGGTGTACTGTGTCCCTTCAAAGGCAAAGTCAAACTGCAGCTAAGAGGCTGTTGAAATAGCCACTAAATAGAACTTAGAAAAATCTTTAATAGCAAAATACTTACTATTGCTGAGTGAATTGAGTTAATGATTTCAATAATAATTGAGTCTTGGAATGAGGTCCTTAGTAAATGGGACCACAGCATCAAGTTTGCGGTAAACCACAATTAAGCACTGTTCATTCTTTCCAGATTTAAGAGCAGGCAAAACTGAGCTGTCAATTGGAGACGTAATATGCCTAATCAACCTTTACCAAGTAGTTCTTGTATAATAAATTTCAAACTCTGAATCATTTTTTTACACTTAAATTGGGTCGTATTAACTATTTCAGCTGGATACCGTGCCATCCCATTTTGTTAAGCTAATCTGTAAGTGCCACAGACTTCTTTTATTCCTCATGGTGTCAGAGTGTCCATGCCCACTATGGGATATTTTAAGGCAGTCAGTGCTATGACTATGGGCAATGTAGGCAAGGACATAGTTTTTGTGGTTAAGGTGAGGCATACTTATTAGTCTCCTGTTTTGTATTTAGTTATTCCCCTAATCTTATGGGGTATACCATGTCTAATTTAGTGGGAATCCTAGGTATGATGTAATCTAAAACTCAGTGTTAAGTTCATGAAGGTTTGCCAGTTGTGCGTTCCCACCAGATGTTAAAATTATTCAGAACCTATATTGTAGAGGCACAAATGGCAATGAGAATCCTTTTATCTTTTCGCTGTATAAAATATTTTAGTAAACACTATTGCCGGTTGGGTTGAATTGTGGATCCTTGCTTCAAATTTTTTATTCATTTGTCTCCCCTCCCCCTTTATTGAGGATTCATTCTTTTATTACTCTTTTTTTGTGTCTTTATTTTTCAACTGATATAATTAAGGTGGGTGAAGGTCCTCTCTACCCTGTTCATATTTATAAATTTCTTCCTCATGCAAGCTTCAAACAAATATAATCAGGTTTAGGGCCTTCTCCTTGGCAATCAATGTATATTTTAAGAACCCTGGGGTTAAGTCATGTTTGAACTGATGCCTTTGTTTTGCCATATGAATATCATGGGTGTTTTTGCCATAATTATGATGATTAGATTGTTTGTTGTGATACAGTTATAAACTCCATTAATGTCAAAAACACTTAGACTAGTGAATAGAGACATAAGTTTATTAGTGTTTACTAGGGGTGGGAGGGAGAGAGGGGAAAAGGGGACTCATTGATTTGGGAACACTGAGCTTCCCTTAAAGGTGATTGGAAATTTGGAAATGAATAATGGTTATGGTTGCACAACATGATGAATACAATTAACATCACTCAATTGTACATGTGGAGAATGTTGAAAAGGCACCGGTTTTGTTACACATGTATTTATCACCATCAAAATACTCTACAAAATACACTACATAGAAATCCCAGATGCTTCTAGTCAGAACAAAGAGTCTGACAGTTGAGAGACACCATGAAGAACATTCTGGTCAAATTTTGTAAATGCTGGGATCATTCTTTAGCATCTGTTCCAAGAAAGATAAGAATTTGGGAGGTATTTTCATGTTACTTGATAGCATTATCACGACAAGCCCTAGAAATGCTCAAATTCTGACAGATACGCAGTCCAATAACAGTGTCAAATAAGAATTTAAAGCACCACTTAGTTATTAAACTTGTGTCCAGCACCTTTCTCTGAATTATCTTGTACAACTGGGTTACAGAACAACAATACTCAGCCAGTGCCTCCCCTCTGTAATAAACTACCCCACTGTTGGATGGCTGTTGATAGCATGGACATCTACCTCACTCAATAAATAAATACACATGGCATAAAAACTAAAACAGGAAGGAAAAATATCATGATTATTAGTGGTTACTTAGCAAAGGTAGAATTTTGGTGTTTTCAAATCTTCCATAATTGAATATTTTTATAATGAAATTAAGGAGCCCCAGTGGCACAATGGTTAAGTGCTCGGCAGTTCAAACCCATCCAGGGGCTCTGTGGCAGAAAGACCTGGTGATCTGCTTCCATAGAGATTACAGCCAACACATAACATAGTTCATAAAGAAAACGTTCTGCATTCTACTTTGGTGAGTAGTGTCTGGAGTCTTAAAAGCTTGCGAGCAGCCATCTAAGATACAGCTATTGGTCCCATCACCTTCGGAGCAAAGGAGAATGAAGAAAACCCAGCACATAAGGAAAATATTAGTCCAAGGGACTAATGGACCACATGAAACACAGTCTACACCAGCCCGAGCCCAGAAGAACTAGATGGTACCTGGCTACCACCACCCTCCGCTCTGACAGGCATCACAATAGAGGGTCCCAGACAAAGCGATAGAAAAATGTAGGAAAAAATTCAAATTCACAAAAACAGACCAGACTTACTGGTCTGACAGAGACTGGAGGAACCCTCAAGACTATAACCCCTGGACACCCTGCTAACTCAGAACTGAAGCCACTCCTGAAGTTCACCATTTAGCCAAAGATTAGATAGGCCTATAAAACAAATAATAACAAGTGTGAGGAATGTGCTTCTTACTTCAGTCAAGTATACGACACCAAATGGGCTACACCTGCCCTAAAGCAGAGCTGAGAAGGCAGGAAGGGGCAGGAAAATTGGATGAATAGACACGGAGAACTCAGGGTGGAAAGGGGGAGACTGTTGACACATTGTGGGGATTGGCAACCAATGTCACAGAACAACTTGTGTATAAATTTTTTAATGCAAAACTCATTTGGACTGTAAAATTTCACCTAAATCAATAAAATTTACACAAAAAAGATTACAGCCAAGAAAACCCTATGGGGCAGTTCTGCTCTGTCACATGGTGCCACTATGAGTTGGAATTGACTCAAGGGCACCAAACAGTAACAACAACAACATAATCAAGTATTAGTAAATAAACATAATATTTTGCCTAGAACTAAATTCAGTTCCTTAGTAACGTTGCATATAATCAAGTGAAAAATCCTATTGAAGAGATGATAAATTTAGCGGCAGCATATGTGGATCCATTGAGGCTGAAATGGTTTGGGAAAATGTCAAGATACTAACAATTTAGCTGTGCTTCAAAATAGGCAGGAGGAGATGTGGGACCGTCATTGAATCATAACGTGTTTTAGCAGCAATTACAGATTGAATATTTCAGGTTTCTTTAGTTTGCCTTTGGCTACAAAGCCAAGAATGCTTTCTCATTTCTCTCCTGCTGTTCTTAGTTGCCTCTCTTCCATGAAGGATTGCCCAGTTGTAGCTCAATTCATCCTTTTTAACTATCACATCCATACACTCTAGACCCTTGTCCAAGTCAAGCAGAAATCCCTGAGTCATTCATTAGCAATACCACTAATGTATTGACATTTACTTTGTGTCTTCCTAGATCCTCCTGCTGGGCAATTGGAGAATCCTCAAAGTGGTGAAGTAGATGTGGAGGCCGAGGTAATGTCACCTATCTTTATCTGAGACAGAAATGGTACGTTCTTGAATTCCTTCTTTTTCAATTGCATTCAGAAATGAAACATGATGATGTACATTGTAGATATTAGATATTGTTTTCCTGGGGTGGGGGGAGTTTGGAGGGTAGACTCTGACCATCTGATACCTGATTCAAGTGAGCATTTTAAATGGCAGCATGAGGTCATGAACTGTATGAAGGGTTCATTTCTCAGCATCCATTTCTCTTTGGATTAAGAATTTTGTGATTACCAAACAAAATGACCTTGAGGGGTACAACCTCCAGATGAAGCCTGTGCCTTTTCCACAGGTGACCTCTACACTTGCTTTTGGAGGCTTTGACTTGACCACTGTTTCCTGTTTGGTCTTCTAATGCCATCAAGAGATCAAAGACCTGGGCAAACCACACACAACATTAACTGATCCCTCATACTCATAGCTTTTTATTTTATACAGTTGCAGGTTGCCTTAACATAAAAAAAATGCTGTATATTCTGTGATGAGTCAATTGCTAAGGAAAAAAATCTAGATGTTAAAAAAGGTGGGACTTCCTTGCTGGCTTTAATCTGGAGAGCCACTGTGAGTCGAGCTTCCTGGTGAATGAGGATTGAGGGTGTGGTGAAAGAAACTTATTATTCAATTAAATTACGGTCATGTGTCTGCTGTCCCTGAAAGCAGCTGTGGTCCCTTAGATGTTGTGAATTTGTGTGCATGGAGGATGGAGGGTGTCTATGTGTCAGTCTACGTGGTGTGATTGTCAGTGTGTGTCCATATGTGGAGTGTTTCCCCAGGAGATATGTCCTGTTTGCACAGTACAATATCCAGTGTCAACCTTGTCAAAAAAACCCAATCAGCACCGAACACTTCATATATAGTAACTCATTCAGTCCTTAACACAGTCATACCTGGGAGTTTGATTACTATCCCCACTACTCAGACGGAGAAACAGAGGTACAGAAAGCAATGGTACAAGTTCTCAGGCTCCTTAGTGGAAGAGCTAAAATGTGAAGCCAGGCATATAGCTCTAATTTTGATGTTCAGAACTACTGAATTGTACTCGTCATTTATGCATGAGATCATGATCATCGAGCAAGGGAGTTCCAGCATCTTCATATGTGCCTAGAAGTATCCGAGGCTACAGTGATCCTAAACAATGTCCATCATTATTAGAAGCCTCTTTGTTCTCATGTGGCCCTAGAAGCACAGTGGTTCGGTGTTTGGCTGCTAACCAAAAGGTCAGCAATTGGAATCCACCAGCCGCTCCTTGGAAACCCTTTGGGGTGGTTCTACTCTGTCCTATACGGTCGCTGTGAGTTGGAATCTACTTGACGGCAACGGGGTTGGTTTGGTTTTGTTCGCCTAGAACAATGTAGGTATTGGTTCACATTACTGCAGACTTTGGCATAGTCATTAATGTGCAAAGTACTTAGAAATCCCACATGATTCCAGTCAGCTAACAATTCTGAGTTTTGAGGCACCAGCAGGATCACAATGAGTTGGAACCAACTCAATGGCAGTGGGTTTGGTTTTTTCTTGTTTTTGGTAGGACCGTTTAGGTCTTCTGTCAGTGCTGTGGTCATCCCTCAGCAATCTTTCTTTTTCTGACACAGATGTGTTGCTTTTTAAGGTTTTTTCTTTTATACTAAAATTCAGAATTATAGTGTGTATTTGAGTTCCATTTGCAGATTGACTATTTCAGTTTGCTTTAAGCTGCCTTTAGTTACAAAGCCAAGGTCTTT